TCCCGTAGCTGTGTCAGTTTTAAAAGGGCCCTCATGGCCTCTATGGCCGTACCTTCGTCGGCGAATTCTTTGGTCAGCAGTCTTTTTATTTCTTCCCAAGACAAGCGGGGTTGATTTTCCAAGAGCCCCCTCACGAACTCAGACGCTTTTCCCCTTGTGGCATCGTATGCCAAATACAGGGTTTCTTGGTCCGAAAGCTCGTAGATGGTTCGGCTCTTCTCGAGGATTGCCAGCCAGTTTTTAAACTCCTTCCCGCTGCCATCAAATACTGGGACCCTCGGTCCACCCAACAGCTTCCTTTAAATCCACTGACAACCCCGCCCTACTTCCTCTTCACCCCCACTGCTCTATCCGAATCATAGTCAGACATGTCTACAGAGAAAGACAGTCTATGCAGCAACAATCGAGGTTGGGAAATAAAATAAGGTGTCCTACCTTACAGACGATTCTGTTCTTTCTTTTCCTTTTGTCCCGGTCGTTCTGAGTTCTGTCTGAATTTTCAGCAACGGCGGTCGATCATGGTCTTCTCAGGGTTGAAATCCCTCGGTCACTGCACCACTTGTGACGTGGTTGTCTCAGGGTTGATCCGTTGGTCACGGCACCACATGTGACGGTTACACACCTGGCCCAGGGTCGAATCCCTTGGTTACGGCGCCAACTGTGACGTCGCTCCTCCTGGTCGCTCCTCCTGGTTCCAAGCGTGCCGCTCCAACCCCTTGGTTGGATGATCACCAGCCTTGCCTTTCCCAACTCGCTTCCAATACCTGGTTACTGAAGCAACTGTACTGATCTCCGGTCTGTCTACCCACGTTGTGTTTAGATCTTAGACAGACGAGACCAGCAGGGATTGGGGCCGATACAAGTTGAGTCCGACGGGGGTGGCAAAACACAAGTAAAAGAAAAAAAAAACTCACGAGACAAAAAAATTACTGATAAAAAAGGGTGACAACATTTTATATCTAATGTCCGTTACATAAAGAAAAATTATTCTCAATTCCCGACCCGTCTGTGGACTATGGCACCAAGCTTCTATCACACAACCTAAAGATTTCGAATTGCCTACTCTTTAGAATTGTGTATGTCGGAGTGTGGTTTAGTTCGACACTGGGGCTAATTTCTATCGATCATTCGCAGTTGATTCTTCTCTTCGACTTGAGTTGTATTTCTTCTTCTTCGTCGACTAAGATAGAACTTCTCTTGTCTTCGACTTGGCTGCAACTTCTCTTGTCTTCGACTTGGCTGCAACTTCTTCTCTTCTCTTGATTCGACTTGGCTGCTTCTCTTGTCTTGGACTTGGCTGCAACTTCTCTGCGGCTTTCGAGTAATCTTCTTCTTCGTCTGCTTGGGCTGGAAGTTCTCTTGTCTTCGACTTGGGCTGGAAGGATTTCTTGCCTGAACTCAGCCCGTAATTCTCTGTCGTCCGAGGTGATCTCTTCTTTCCTGCCGTCCGGGCAGAACTGATTTTTGTTGATTGGGGCCCTGCTTTTATTGACGCCGCAGCAAACCGGGGTGGGTCTGTCGGCGTCAGGGGTTTCTCAATAATTCCAATAGCTGCCTTATTTCTGTCTTCTCATTATCGCTATTGTTTTCACCCCTACTTCCTCACAGTGCCCTTGGTGGGGGCGGCACACCATCTTTCCCGGTCCCTCGTATGTCAGGGTGACCGCTCTCGACCAATGATTCCTGATCGAGCACTTCTTTCTCTTCCTTTCCAGAGATCACGTGACCGTTTCCGACCAATTGTTATTGATCGAGCATCCTTTCTCCTATTTTTGGGCGTGGTTACATCGTTCTTGTTTTTAAAAAAAACAAAATCTAATTTGGCCTTTTTTCGCACGTCGAAAAATGATAATCTTGGCTTTTTCTCACCTGGGCTCTGTCAAAACAGCCCGCCGCTAATTAGATGTGACTTCAGGGAAGAATATTGGCGCCATCTGTGAGCTGAGACAATCGTTTTTTCACCTCTTGTTTTTGTCAGACCCGACAGTCAGAAAATCTTAATTATCTACATTGAAAATGTCCCCACTTTGTTATCATGGGTTTCCAATTCTTAATAGGTCAGAATCTGTATATAGTTCCACGGTCACTCCCCTCAACCCAAAAGACACTTTTCTCCGATTAAAAAAAATTTCGTTTCTATTGTTCTAAAATTTCCCTTTCTCCAGATTAAGATTTCGTTGCCATTGTTCTAAAATTTCCCTTTACTCCAAATTGATAATGAGTCTTTCTACGCAAAAGTCGGTCATGCGCTTCGACTGACATTCTTATCAAAATGACTTTCCCTTCTAAATAATATTTCTTTTCATTGTCTCTCGAAAATCGGCCAAGATGTTGACCTAAATACCTTTCTGATACGTGTTTTTGTTAATGACCGCTTTTTGCATTTCTTGACCTCTCTTTCCCTTCTTTCTATCTTCCCTTCTTTCCTTTTTCTCTTCTTTCCTCTTCTCCCCTTAGGATCGTCTAAGTACAATCTTAGTGAATTATTTTCAACTCAATTATTTTCCGTTTAAAAAAAAAAAATCAACAACCTGTTTAGTAAACCGAGTAAAAAAAAAATTAAATCATATTTCTATGAATATTTCTAATAATGCAAGGTGCCACAGATGCTTTGAATTCTATCAAGGCTGGAAAGTGAGGACTGAGCAGCTTCTGCCTAAATACGATGACAGTACTCCATTTTCAGTCTGATCTGGCTCGTATAAAGGTAGAGGATAGCATGAGGAGTCAGGTACTTATTTAAGGAGTACAGGAAGACAATCATTTTACCTGCATCTTTAGTGATGGAGCATATATAAGAGTTCCACTTGAGGTCGGGTGTGAGTTTGAGGTTCAATATCCTCTCAAGGCACAGGGTTTCCTCAAGGAGACATCAGTTCATCATGACTGGGGTTGTTTGAGGTCTGATCAGTGATGATAGAATGTAACAAGTAAATTGTTTCCCTCTGTCTCTCTTGCCATCAATCTGTTCTGTGAGTATCAAATTATCAAATCATTCTTTCTTCATTATGTGTCCCAGAAATTTCAAATGTCTCTAATTCTAAGTATCTTTTTGTTTCCATTTTCCTTTGAACTTTCTCATTGCACACATTTTACAGTTGAAATGTCTAGATGTAACTGTAAGTTCTATGCTTACAATTTCTTCTGTCACACTTCTCACTTGTGCAACTCCCTTCCAGCTTCTTGCTTTCCACTCAATGTTGATCTTCAAAAATTTAAATGCAATGACAACCATTATCTTTTATCTTTTTAATTCCTGTTCTTTTGTAGTTCTTTCTTCTTAATAACATTTTTTTCTTCATATCCTGTCATACTCAGTAACCTTTTGCATCTTAGTGGCTTTATTGCCTTGCTTGGAGTGAAATGATTAAAAAAATCTTACTAACTCAATAAACAGCCCAACATGCAAATCACAAATTGAGATAAATTTATCTAGAAAGATGGAAAATGCAACACTGAAATCCTATGGTGCATTGAGATAACAAAAGATGCCTTCCAAAAACTAATCAAAGTATTAAGAAACAGGAAAATTTCATTAGAAACAAAGAAAAGCATACTGAACTGTTATATAATATCAGTCATATGGCAGTGAATGCTGGACAATCTCCTCATAGAAGAAGAAAAGGCTTGAGGTAACAGAAATGTGATTCTACTAGAGGATGCTGAGAATACCATAGACTGAACATGTGAGCAATGATGAAGAATTAGAGAAAGAAGAAACAAAACTGACAATTATACTTAACATCAGAAAGAGAGAGTTTAAATTTCTATAGTGAGGTGAATATGGTGGGTCCAGTAGAATAGACCAACCAAATTCTACTTTTTTTTTCCTGTGTTATTCTTGCTGCATGTAGCCTTGACTTGTCATGGAGGAGAACAAGATTTTCCTTTAATCCACTGTGTACGCTGCCACTGCCATGCAAAAAAAACAAGAGATGTTAGTGCATTCCAAATTTATTCTTAATTGATTCTTAATATGATTAGTAGTTAGGACAGTGATTCTCAACTACCATGCATGTATGATTGAACTCCAAATCCTTTCATAAATGTTCCTTCTAATATTGGACTTCAGTTATGTGAAGAAGAATTGGTTACTATTTCTAGTGATCAAAGTCTCAAAATAAAACATTCAACAGTACCCATTGATACATTTTGGATTTGAATACAAAAGGAATATCTCACATTGCAATAAAACTGATAAAGCCTTTTTAGATAATTTTCTACTTATTTATGTGAATTAGGTTTCTCCATCCTAAATAACCTCAAAAATAAGAACAAAGAAAGACTATGTTCAACTGAAAGAGAAATGAAATTCTGCTAATTGAACATTCAATGAAACAGTGAAGAAAAAAACACCAGGCACAGGTTTCACTCTAAATAAACTGCACAAATAGTTGAATCTCAGCCATTGAGTGAAAGTTACCTAGTTCAATCTTTGGTGATGAGATTTCTTGAATATTACAGGAGACTGTTTATTGACAAAGCATTAAATAACTCAGACAATACTTGTTATCATGGAGTGAATGTCTCAACCTTGCATCACTACTCAGACTACTCAACCACATTGAGATCTTATTATTGTTTATTGATAACAGCTGGAAACTATCACCAGATGTGACCTATGCAAATGTAAAAACAGATGCAACAATCCAGTCAAGCTAATCTAAATAAACCGACTCCAACTGATGATACATGGACTAGATTTGCATTTGAGTGAGACCAACAAAAAAGTGATTTTTATTATAGAGAATAACTTATCTGTGCTACTGTACATTTTTATTTTTCATCTAGCTTCATATGAATCCTATTTTACAGTGATGCCAATCTTCTCATATTACAGAAACTGGAAAAAAGAAAATCTTTATTAATAAAGAATAAAAGTTAAATTCTTTGAAAAGCAGCATATTAAAATCACTATTGAAAGTTTTTAATATATCATGTCTGGTGAAAAAATAAACACTGAAAATACTTTTGAAGAATAAATTGTATTTCTTTTGTAGAAGCTGGGTTCAAATTCATGACAGATGAGTTTAAGTTATGTTTTCCATTGAATTCATCAAATATTATGGATTTTAAAAATTGGTTGAGTGAAACTTGGTTTGATCTTGCTATGATTGACTATCCTTACCCTGCCAACTTTCTACAGCCTCTTCCTGCATGGCCTGTTAAGGTAAGTCACATTTCAATCAAATATCACATCAGACAAATTTTGTTTCACTTGATATCTTTGTAAATAATTTTTTTAAAATACCTTAATTTTCTGCCAGTAACCATTAAAAATATACTCTCCTGTTAGTAAAAGGGTCACTGAATTCAACTTTTCTTTTTTTTTAACCAACTATATCCACTTATTATAACCCCTAAAACTTTGTTTTTTTGTACTTATACAGATTCTTTTAAAAGAAAAAATCCGAAAGAAACTTAACACAAATAGTCAAGTGAAGTAGCAAAAGAAAGTTCTTTTTTTAACTTTAAATTCCATTTCCTCACTAAAATTCTAAAACTGCCAGGAGCATCCACATATTTGTCCACTTTTCAAATTGGATTCATAGACTGTAACACCAAAGATGAACTGAAGGCAAAATTTATGGCAACATTCACCAACTTAAAAAAGAAGACCATGAAGAGTTACAGGAGATTCCAAAATCATCTGGAGGCTTTGGTTGAAGACAATGGCAATTTTATTGAATAAATTTACGCTTTAATATTTTAAGATATTTTAGTGTAATTTTGGTAAATATATCTGTTGAAATAAGATGTCAATATTGTTTTCATTTTTTGTACGATTTTGGCGACAATTTATCCATCGCATACTGTGTGTGTGTGTGTGCATATATATATATATATATATACACACATACATACACACATACATACACACACATGATACTTATTACACAGTTTGATGTGAACCAAGTACAATTGCGATATTTATTTACCACTTTATAAAGTAATATATTTGAGAAGAAATTTTTATTTAAAAATAAATTAAAAAAAATGATCAAATTATAAAAGTTTTTTTTATTGTAAGCACCAAGCTCTTTCTTTTTAAATATCCCCGTAGATTGATCTTATTATTAACAATAAATCAATCCTACAATGAAACATGCTTAAAAAGTTTACAAGCTTTCTCTATCATTTTACAGACACTAACATGAAATCTATTTAAAATTGCTTAAACCTGTTATAAGCAGTGTGAGACTGAAAAGATTTTGACTTGACCAAGAAGTTATTCCCTTGCAAAATTCTTTTTGATGCTTGACCATTTGGTCAGATTTTTATCACTCCTACATATAAGAATGTGGCATGTGGCTGTGTTTCTTTTTTTTCCTCAAGATGTCTTCACTGATTTCAGTTACACTGTAACCATACAATGGGTCTTTCACCAAATCTGACAAATCACCTCAACATTGTCCCTTGATTCTAATTTGTGCTGTCAGTGTCCACAAAAACTGAACAAGGTCTATTGTGCATTCACAAGGAAGCAAAAGGTGGTAATTAATACCATGGTGAGAAATGAAGATGCAGTTCCTGTTTCCAAAATATTTGGCTGTTTATTTAGGGTTTCATTTGTATGTTCTTGTGGAGATAGATAGCTAGCACTTGTGACAACTTCTGCTGCTTCTATCATGATAGATTAATGGATCAGCTTTTCCCTTCAACCAGCAAGAACTTTCTCCCACCATCAGTCAGTCAGTTACATGCCATACGTGATACACATGTAGGCGATCATGTATCTTTCGATACATGACTGACGAGGCAGATTTTTTTCCACAGTAGGTTGCCATTTCTTTCTGCAGTAGACCAGTTGCCATCCAAGGCTATAGAACATGGTCTATTTGCCCATAGCTGGGGGGAGAAGAAGAGGATTCATACCATTCCCAAGAGTATTAGCACATAAGTGAATGTAATGGATTTGACTGGAATTTGAATTCAGCTCTCTGATTCCTCAATCAGTTATGTGCCATGCATGATACACATTTGGGCGATCATGTATCTTTCAATACATGACTGACAAGGCAGGTTTTTTCCTGCAGTAGGTTACCATTTTTTTCTGCAGTAGACCAGTTGCCATCCAAGGCTAAAGAATCCAGTCTATTTGCCCATAGCTGGGGGTAGAAGAAAAGGATTCATACCTTTCCCAAGGGTATTAGCATGTAAGTGAATGTAATTGATTCGACTGGAATTCAAACTTAGCTCTCTGATTCCTCAATCCGCGCCTCTATCCATTACTCCACCATGCCTCCCCATACATCTGCCTATTTCTTGCAACTTGCCTATGGGTGGCTTGAAACTATTTTCTAACAAGCAACATCAGAACTTTTGTCAATTAGTACTGTGACTGTCCATAAAAATCTGTGAGCAGAACTTTCTAACTCCCAGCCAAGTGGCACTTGTTCCCAAAAGTTTTCATCTATTCATTTTTTTTTTCCCATTCAAGTGGGTGACCACTTTGAAGATCCTACTTCATAGACTTGATTGCTGGTCATTAAAAAGATAGTACATGTAAGACTCAGATAAAATCATTTACCACCCACATCTATGTGGATTGTCCTGATCCAACATGTGACTCGGTGTCATAAATTTTGTGATTTATTCATTGTGTTACATTTCATGAAAAGCAAGCAAACTGATAGTCTTGTATCACAGTGACTTTTTTTTTTTATCTCTTTCAGCAAACATGTCTCTCTTTAAATACTACATTTTCTAATGACGCTGCCCTTATCTCAGGCCTGGCTAAGGCTTTACAAGTTTACTATAATTACACAGGTCAAATATCCTGCTTCAGTCTTTCAAGCTCTGGTCCTTTAGGAACACTCGGATGGTTTTATCAGGTATGTCCAAATTTTCATTGTTGTTTTGCATTTTTTTTTATAGCTATCGGTTTATAACAACCAGAATCTACCATAATTGATAACATTGAAGAACCCCAACCCCACCACTAATGACTCAAAAATATATCCTTATGTGTTAATCTGAGGCATCTAGGAAGCTAATGCTTACCTAGATCTTGTAGACTACCAAAACTTGAACCCATGGAATTTAAAGGTTGTGTTTGTTGGGTATCATAGGTTTAATAGCAACTGTAAGGAAACAAAGTTTTCTGTGTCTCTTGGCTATGTCTGCTTTCTTTTTCTAGTCCAGAGGTAAGTTAGGGTAAGTAATGGTAAGTCAAGTCAGTTTTTGCACTGAGTTGGAAGAATCAAAGTAAAATTTGTACTTTTTTCATTGTGGAGTTTCAGCAAAACATATGCTATACATTAGAAGTGGAAGAGAGTTCAGTTGTCAGATGTACACCAGCAGGGATGTCTTCATCCAAGTCCTATTATATGTTGGAGCAAGTGGAAGAAAATGTTTGTCATTTTATAGAAGTTCAACAGTGCCATCTAATGAGTGTTTGCTAAAGCCAAATTGAGTAATAAAATTTCTGCTTCCTTTATTACGAGTAACATGGGTAAATGTATTTTTTTTTTCTCTTTTATTCATTACTATTATTATTTTTGTTAGTTGCAAAACACTCACCCCTCCCCTTTCCCAGACAGAAGTGTACAAATGTATGCTGTGATTTTTCTTTTTCATTGCCAATAAAATAGTCCAGTTCTTGTTTTGACCTGACACAGTACTGGTTTGTCTTGTCTTAAAGTCAGTACATTACATTCACTTGTCTGAACTTGCTTTCATGTTTTAACACCAATTCTTAGTTTGTGAACTTTTTGTCATATTACTGTTAATTTGCCTTGCATATATTGTTTGCTTGCATTATATCATTTTTGGCCTTGTTCTTTTCTTTTTCTTGTTATTGCTTATTGCAAACTTTGTTAATTCTATTTGTTAGACAGTTCTGTTAGTTATTTTACATTTACCCCATGGCAACTCACTCTATAATTTCATTTATTGATTCTATTTCATTTTCTCATAAATCCATCATAACTTCATAATACTACAATCTGAAATGTGAATGGGGGTGGGAGCTTATGTCATCAAATACAGTAAGTAAAAAGGATCTTGTTGTTTTTGAGATCCAGAAATACCATGGTTTTTTTTTTTTGGATGGGGGGGGGGTACTAATTTTCATCATCTCTGTTTTTGTTTTTATTTATTTTTTTCTTCGTAACCAATTCTTCAACTTATTTATTCTCATCATATTATCTGGGGTCTCTTCTTAGCAGGAGCAACAAACTTTTGCCTCTTGAATAAACAGTAGGAATTATTAAAATTCTAAATATTAAGAAACACCCCTACCCAGTACACTTTATTTAAAACCTCTGCCTCCTCTTTATGAAATTAATAATTTAAAAATATAAAAAAATTGGTAAATAGTTATTTATAACTATTTATACTGGGACTCATGCATGCAATTACAAGTAATCCATGATATTTTAAATTTTGAAATCATTTATTTTAACGATATGAATTTTTTGAAACTGTTTCTAAATCTTTGATTGTCTTCCAATCATTCCACCTCACCTGCTATCCTCTTCTGTCACACCTATGAAGCATGCCACACCATTTTGGAACCACTTGTCTAAAGGCTGTTTTAGAGTCCAGCTTTCTTGCAGAGCTTTCCTTCTAATTCTAGAGGAAGAACAGTCCTGAATTATCTGTGCAAGAATTTCACTTTTGGCATTGTCTCATCTGTGGCAAATGTTGTAAACTTTGTTTCCAACATAATGAAAGACAATTGCCTTTTTCTTTTTGCCTCTTTTCTATGTCTAACACACATAGCAAGTTCTCAAATTTTGTTCACTTGTTTCTGCCACACTGTGCCTGGAATGCATTTGTTTTGGCATACTACAAATGGTGGAAATATGGGGAGCCTTTTCTACCTGCCATCAGCATGGCTGATGTTAACCTTCAGGAAAGCAACTCATTGCACCTTCTTGGGCTTACATTTTCGACTGACATGGAGTGATTATATTGAATCAATTACTAGATCTGCTGCTAGGAAATTTAGTTCACTGTGTTGTGCCAGATAATTTTTCTCGTCAGAATCTTTCTTGTACATTTATAAATATACCATTCATCAGTGCATAGAATATTATTGCCATACCTGGTCTGGTACTCCTGCTATATATCTCAAGATTCTTGACAAAATTCAAAGAAGAGTCTGTAATCAATCCTGACATCTCAACTTCAATCAGTTTCTCACCAATGTGATATGACTTCCCTGTGTCTTTTCTACAAATATTTTCATGGCAATTGTTCTCATGAGCTTTCCTCCTTGGTGTCATGACTGCATGAATTTAAGCATGCTACATGATTGGCAACTAGGTTTCACCTTTTTTACTGTTGAACTTGCTAGATGCAACCATATGTTCTATTCTAATAGTTTCTTTTATTGTACTTTTCACCTGTGGAACTCCCTTCCAATTTCTTGCTTCCCTGTCAACTACAATCTTTAAAAATTTAAATGCAACAACAATCTTCCTGAATTCTGTTTTTTCTTGTTTGAGAAGCCCTCATTATCCACATTGACAACACATAATGCCTTACAGTTCATGAAGGACTTATTAGGAATACCCATAGAAAATACGGAGACCAGTTAATGTTTAGCACACTGCATTATTAATATTACTTCTATTTCCACTGCATTCTTTTTTCAAGGCTTCTCAATTGCAGTGTCCTTATTGTTAATTTCACTCAAAGTTGTTTTCTGATGCAAGATATGACAACACAACTATAAAATTCAAACATTCTATTGTTCAGGGATCAGACTCACCTTCAGTGGCAGGATAAACTTTTTGTATAGCAAATGAAGTCACGCACAGAGTGATAAAAGTTAAAGGCTTCCAGCACACGAGGTGCTGTCTGAAATCTGCTGATTCATACATGCTGCATAAGCACTATCTTTATTAAAATAGAACCTCTGATTCTGGTAGTCAATGATCTCACTACATCACAATCAGAAGGAAGGTAAACAAAAAGATTTTTTCAAGCCTTTTGGCTCTTCTAAAGGGCTATAAAAACTCTCCATTTTTACTTAATGATCTTGCATGTTCAACCTGCTATGGATTTCACCTGTTGGCAGAGATGGCACCAGAACATTTTACTACTTTATTTCAAAGGTAGTTAAATTTACAAATATCTTCTTCACACATAAACATTATAAATTAACTGTTTTCATTCCATATTCGACATACACTGAAACATGATTTGTAAGAATGTAAATAAATTAGATTGATGCTTATATATATATATAAAACAAGATATAATTTTATATATCAACAAGCAGTATTTAGAAAAATAGCATGGTAAGTTGGAAAAGCCTTTTTTGTGATGCGTTTCATCAGTTAGGATTTCATCAGACTGGTCTTTGTTGATGTTGTCACATCTACACATGCACCCAAAACAAGAGACACTGGTAGTTTCAAAATTTTTGAAAGAATATTTTTTCAATCTAGCCAAATCAGGGACAAAGGTGATGAAGAGAAAAAGAATATTGATGAATTTGGCTAGATGAAAAAAATATTCTTTCACAAATGTTGAAACTACCAGTATCTCTCATTTTGTACACACACATATATATATATATAAAATGTACATTTATAATACCCTTGCTTTTCTCTTCCGCATTCTTCTTCTTCTTTCTTCACATCCTCCACCTCCCTTTGTATCACACCCTAACTAGTATGGTTGTTTATTTTTTAAAATAAAGTAAATAAAGTGTTGGGAGGCGAATTGATAAAAATCACCTGTAGATACCATAAGGTTGAAACTAAGATAGCGGATTCAACTGATCTCCTAATTTTTTAAGTCATGTATATATATATATATATATATATATATATATATATATATATATATATATTTTTTTCTTCTTTCATTCCCATCTTTGTTGGTCTGTTTTCTTGCCTGCTGATGAATTATAACACAATGTCTTCTAGCTGTTTTCTTTATGTCAAACTCTTCTCCAGGTTTCCTCACCAACCTCTTCTTTTTATTGGTGATAGGATGGCTTTTAGATATCACTTATGCAAGGCCATATGTTTAGTCATACTGCCACCACAGATGTGGTAAACCAACCATATCACTGGAGCAAAGTTTTTGTCAGGTCAACATTCAATTTGTCTATCAAGTTTACATGAATTTTGCATTTATTTATTTTTATTTTATTTTTCACTGCAGTCATGTACTGAAATGGTGATGCCATTCTGCACCAATGGCATAACAGACATGTTCCAACCCAGCAGCTGGAATTTTACTAAATATTCGTTGGCATGTTATCAAGCCTGGAAGGTTTACCCTCGCAAAAATTGGATTAAGACTAACTATGGAGGAAAGAATATTGAGTCGGCGTCAAATATTGTTTTTAGGTCAGTTATTTTTATTTGTAAAATAGTGCCCTGTCTATTTAACAAAATGGTAAGCTACAATAGAAAATTCTATTAAGTATGTCTATAATTTTGAGAAGAGTCATCATTTCAAGATTTCTTTAGACAATTCAACCAATTCTTTGTGTACATAACAACAGTTATTGTTGCAGAAAGGGAAATCGGCATGCTAAATTCAAATTCTAGTTGATTCTATTTCATTTATTTTGTGTTAATGCCCTTAGAAAAAACATGAATTCCTCTTCCTCCAGCTACAGGTTAATTAGCATGGTAGACTGGGTTGTCTTGTCTTAGATGGCAACCAGTCTAAGGGAATAAATGACCAGCCTGAAGAGGGATTAGCTCCATCAGGCTATCTTGACTTAAATACATTAGCTACTGCAGTACATGTGGTGCGTAAATGAACCTCTTAGGTTACAGGGAAATAATGAGGAGAAACTGATCTACTCTAAGTGCAACATTTATCAGAATCAAAATATTAATTTTCTTTTCTTTTTTTTTCCATTTTAGATGTTGGATTCTGATTATAATATAAGTACTAATATGAATTGATAGATTCACCTATTGTTTGGATCATACTCCTCCCTGGTCTTTTGAACAGGAGTAGAGGTTTATCACTTGTTTCCTGTTTATAATCAGGTTTTCAGTTCCTTCTAAAATTTCATTCTCTTTCACTCCCAGTGGCCTCTTGCATCTTAGTGGCATTATCACCTTCCTAGCGGTGAATTGATTAAAATGTACAATATCAAATCAATCCCTGATTTTTTTTTTTTATAGTTTATCTTTATCCTTGTCAATTTTGAAATTGTCTGTGACTGATGACTGTTCTACCGAGATCTTTTTTCTCATTTTTAAAATAAGTATTTGAGAAACCAATTAATATGTTCTTTGGCTTTGGGTTTATTACAAAAGAAAAAGCACAAACATAGGGAAATAATAAATATATATCTTAAATCAATCCTATGATTAGGCATTTTCCTCCAGCAATTCTTAATAAAATATGTTGTGGCAAAACATATTTGTTTTTACTTTAAAAAATTTTCATGTCTTGAAAGTTATAAAAATTAGTGTAGTTTGATGATACTAAAGACACCATTGTAGACGATACTAATCTTGGGCTAATGTTTTCTATTAACATGAAGTGGGAAGATTATATTGAATCAATTTCTAAGTTTGTTTCTAGGAAAGTTGGTTCACTGTGTTGTGTTAGACAATTTTTCTCTTATTTATGATAAAACCTACCCTTTTTATCCAAGATAAATATCCTGTCTCTCATGTACTGAACTATTCTTAAAAACTGGATTGACTTTTTGACAATATGATGGAACCAGTCTTTTACATACAATTGACATTTACACGAGTATATATGATCTATTTGTTTATGACTAGGAAAAGTATTTCGCTTTTTACATTTTTTTTTTTGTGCAAACCTTAATGTTACATTAAAAAGCAATATAATGTAAATTTCGTAATGAAGTATTTTTTTAATATCTGTTCAAATAATAATGTACTATAACCTTAAAATCCCTATCTTCAAATATTTGAATATTTGATGCATTATGTTTCTAAAATCATCCTCCACTGTAATGTCTCAAAAATTTTCTTTTTTTAATAAGCAATGGTTTACTGGATCCTTGGTCTGCTGGTAGCGTGTTGAGAAATATCTCTGATTCACTTGTTGCCGTTATCATGCCTGAAGGAGCTCATCATCTTGACTTGCGTTCCTCAAACCCTGCAGATCCTCAATCTGTGATTCAAGCAAGGAAGACTGAAGAACTTAATATCAGGAAGTGGTTGAAAAAAGGATAATTCTGGTTACTTTGTTGGTAAGATGTCATTCTTTTCTCTAACTTTATTATTGGAAAATATTAATGTTAATTTACAGTTTTTAATTTTGGAACATTTCAGTACAGTTAGACCCACATTTCCACAAATTCAATCAACCACAGATCAAAAATAAATATTCTCGACCAGGCCACTGCAATGGTTCTGCCCCCCCCACACACACACACACACACTGAATCAATATGGGTCTCCCCACTCTACTACATCTCAATTTTCATAAAGTAGTATTCATATAAAATACAAATTTATTGTAACCTAATCATGTACAATAATGGGTCATATGCAATATAGGTGAATAATACAACTAGAAAAAATATATATTTTATCTAAATACAAATTGCTGACCTGTCATAATAGATCATTCCATCTTTTACCCACCAAATTCTTTCTAGAATTGTCCACCTGCCACTACTTTTTTTTTTTTTTTTTTTTTTTTGAGGGTGCAAAAAACATGGGCACCTACTATTTTAAAATTGTTATAACTTTCTTTGTGTGTATAAGCCTTGTAATAAAGGAATGGATAAGTAATATTTTGATGCAATGCATGTTTTGATGTTGAAAACAAAAAAAAAAAAAAAAAAATGAAACTCAAAATAAAAAGAAAAAAACCATTAACAATTTAACATACTTTAACTTTTATAACTCCTTGTGGTGTTCTAGGGTGCAATAAGAAACAAAATGGCTAAGAAGGCTTTCATTTTGTCAAAAGTGATGTCCTTCCATACAAGTTGACACTAGCATTTGTTTCCTCTTTCCTTCACCTGACTAGCATATTTGTCATATCGACAAATAGTTATTATTTTGTTGTTTATAATTACATGAAATAATCCACCTTCAGAAAGGCTATCAGGTACATCGATGGGGCCAATAGCTTCCATGAAATTAACCAGCCATGGGCACCTAGCAGTCATCATGGCTTTCCTCCCCATCACTAGTGTAGTTACCATCTCCATCTACTTCACTGTCAATAGTTGCTTGAATAAAGCTTTCAAAATCATCGTCAGAGTCAAAATCAAAGAAACTCTCTTGCATAAAGGCTTTGTTGGATGTTGATGAGGCCATTTTTGTTTACAAAACATCGCAAAATTAACATGGGTTTAATCAATGTTAAACTTTATGTAGAAGAATTCAAAATGGCATCAGAAAACAGAAGTTTAGCCTTGTTCCAAAGTGGGAGTAGGCAATTTCCAGCTTAAAATACCGGAAATAAATGTTGACAAGTGTTTATTTATAGCAACCCTCCCGAGGCCACAGAATGTGCCTACAGCTTCAAAGGGAGAGAATTCTACAGTGACAATTTTCATCTCCAGCTAGATAAAGGCAAAATAAAGCAATGTTTTGCAGTAATCAACTTTTATCAACTTGAGATTTTTCTTGTTAAAATGATAAAGAATTTTAAAACATTCAAACATGATGAATAAAAAATAGTGAATTTTATATGTTTTTTGAGACTTAGCATGAGCAAAACGAATTCACGGATTTAAACAAAAAAAAAAAAAAAAAATAGAATAACACCAAAATCCCAAAATTTTTTCATCTATTGACATCAGTTATGCATAGTTTAATTTGTAACATAATGTACGTAGAAAAAAAAACAAATACCTGGGGCCCCCAATCAGGTTCCTCCAGTTTGTGTGGGGGGTGGGGTGGAGGGTAGTACACACTGGCCATGATTACAGAAATTTTCCAGAAAGCAAAACTTTTTAAGCACATTGCTGAATCCACATGAAGTTCCCCACATTTTAATAAATCCTCTCTCTTGGACTTGATGTCTGAGTATTGTTTCTACTTGTGCTATTTGCTCTTTGTAAAAAAAATTTGGCGAACATAGACCTTCATGCCTGCAAAAAAATGTAGTGTCAAAAAGATCATTTTTCCATTTACACCACTATTATTTTAGCTCCCTTCCATCCTCAGCAATGTTTGTTTTAAAAAGCAAAGATTAGAATTGTAATAAAACCTAAACATATGATCTAGAGTTGTTGTATATAAGTAGCCACAGGCTTCCTCTTTTTTTTTTTTTTTGCTGTTTACAAAAAACCTGTGTCAACCAATATGGTAGTTTTTGATAAACAGCTAACATGGTAGCAGAGAAAGACAGAAAAAGTAAATAGAGTACAAAAAAAAAAAAAAATTGTGGTTGACACAAAGGAAAAGGAAATAGATTACTAAAACAGACAGAAAAAAAAACTGTATACTATATTTTCAATACCTAAGGTTTAAAATAAATATTTTAAAATGCAAAAGTATATTTGAAGATTACTTTTTAACTTTAATTAAAAGCTAAATGATTAAATTTACTATTTCCAGTAAAATATTCTGGTGTATTTCAAATAGAAATTATATTGATTGGAATCTCAACATTTTGGTCACCTTCAGAAAATTAATAAATATCAGCCATTTTGTCAGATTTGTAAACAAAAGTTAATTCTTAGTTTTAAAAAACCCTAAAAATGAAATATTTGACACATTATTTGAGGGAAATTATCAAATTTAAATTTAATCTGTATGAAACAAATATTACTTACTTATAGCATAAAACATAGTATACAAGCATTTCTTAACCACAAGGTCTTATTTTTCTGATGAGTTAATTAAGTATGGTTGACTAGAAATTGACATAAATTTATGAAATCTAAATGAATGCTTTGTTTTTGGTTTTTACAACCTAGTAATTTTTTAAGATTAACATATTTCCAGCAATTGTCTAATATTTTACTGAATTTTAGTTAATTATATATTTATAGTCTTTTCATCAAAATAACTCTCACAAAAAAGAATAAATTTTTAGGAGTTAAAGCAAAAATAATTTGAAAAGAAATTTCAAAATGGCAAGCAAATTAAAAAATAAGAACTTCAAATAGAAACTGAATAAGAAAAATTTAAGTTAAAGTAAAAAAATTATTTTTTTAGTTGAATTATATTGGGTTTTGATTCCAGGTTCTTTAACTTAAAAAAAAAAGTAATTAAAGTATGACCTACACTAAAATGAATACATAAAATAAAAAAATATTTACTGTAATAGGAATTTAAAAAAGTAAAAATTACTTTAAATTTTTAAGTTTAAAATTTTGAAGGGATGAATTCTTAAAACATGTGACTGACATACTTACAAAATACACTATACACTAAAAAAATAAAAACTTATTTTAAAAATATTGAGAGTTAACAACTTTTATTAAGCTTTTCAATTTTTGATTTGTAAATATAGTTTTCACTTAACCAGATTGAAGTAATGCAGAATTATAAATGATTTAAAATCAGTGACAATGGAAAAGAATTTTCTAATGATGATTTTCAAGAGATGGGAGCAAAACTGAATACACATATAGTAAGTACAGCAGCTGAATCCCCTTGAGTGCCATATTAACAGATATGCTGATGAAAATGAAGGAAGATACAAAATGTTCCCTAAATGATGCATTGGGATGGACAGTCTCAGCAAAAATTGTCTTTGCTAATATCAATATCCATAGCTATTCTTCAAATCAGCTTGTGTTTTGGAAAAATCCAATTTTTCCATCTGTTCTCCTTAAACTACCGGCCCTTGATGTCACATCAAAATCTGATGTTCTTCTAAGAAACCTAAATGCACTTCACTCAGCTCGTCAGGCCGGCCTTTATCTCAGCAAAATCCAGTGAATGTATTTGACATGCACTAAGTGCAAGAACAAGAGATTTCATGTCAAAAATATACCAAAATGGAAATACTTTATTACACAAGAGAAGGAATACCAACATGGAAAGGAACTGGTTGTGTGATTGGAATGGAAAGTCAAATGGTGAAACATTGATCAGTGTAGGTAAGGGTTCATCTAAGCTGCTTAATGGATGAGAATGCAGAATTTGAAATCAACATCAATGCAAATAAGAACAACTCACCAAGCAAGGATGAAACATTTTCAAGAGCTTCTATGGCATGAGGATATATTTGACAAATCTTCAGAAACCACTGTTTATAATCTACCTGAAGTAATTCAAAACTCTATGGACCATCATAAAGTCTCAAGTGAAACCTATCCAGGAAGCTAACTACCTAAAAGCAACCAATATGTTCTAGCAAGAATGATAAACAATGGACTGAATCATTTCCCAGGCAGGTAAAGCAACAGGCAATTATGCTGACTGGGTAAATGTTTGATAAAAACTTAGATAAAGCCTTAAGCATTAATTGGAAGAAAACTGTCAAGGAATGGAAGGAGATTGAACTTGAAGTTTTGATTGCCAACTCTCATACTCCAGAAACATCAGAGGCAATGTTTAAAGAGCTCAAAAATGGAGAGATTACAATGTATATAATAAATTTGAAGACATTGGCCAAAAATGAATCTGTGAGATGGGTGTCTACTGGAAATAATGGTAAAATAAAAGCTAGATTAGTAGCTAGATGTTTTGAAGATAGAGATTATTAGATCAGACTCCCCAACCTGCTCAACACTGAACCTTAAGGGTAGTAATAGCAGTGGCAGCATCAAAAAGATGGAAAATCAATTTGCTAGACATACAAAGTGCATACCTACAGGGTCAAGAACAAGATAGAAATGTATTTCTGAAGCCACCACCTGAGGCAAATACAGATAAAATTTGATAGTTGATAAAATAACAGCAAGAATGTGGCATTTGTATATTTCTAGGGAACTGATTTCCTTACAGATGAGAAAGAGAAGATATGATGAAGCTATTTTTTCTACCATTGGGGGTTATCTGCATGGTGTTATGTCAGATTATGTAGATGGTTTCTTTTGGGCTGGAACTGATCAATTCAAGTCATCAGTAATAAATAAACTGAGACAAAATTTTAATATCAGCAATGAACAGCAAGAAGCTTTTAAATATCTTGGTATTCATATTGATCATCTGAATGAAGATATTCACTTGTATCAATCAAAGTATGAAAATTCCCTAGTACCAATGCAACTCAATGAAAGTAGAAATAAGAACAAAAGTCTAAGAGAGAAAAGAATGAGTTTCAATCAACCACCAGGCAATTGCTCTGCTCTTGATTGTAAATCAAACAAGACCAGACATATCCTTCAATACTTGCCAATTGAGTAACAGTTTAAGGAACACCAAAGTCCCGGATATATCCAGAGCAAACAGTTATTTAGAAAGTCGAGCAGAATAGACTGTCCTTGACCTTTAAGAAATTGAACCGTGTGGAGAAGTCCACAATATTAACATTTACTGATGCTTCTTTCAAAAACCTCTGGGTGGTGTCTCTCAAGGGAGATACTTGATATTACCTGCTGACAAGGAGGGGGAAGACATGCCCTATTCATTGGCAAACACGAAAAATAAGGAGTATTGTAAGAAGTTCACTCGCAGCTTATGTTTGGCCCTGCAAGAGGTAAGTGAAACAGTATTCTACCTGAAAACAATTCTGGAAGAAATTATTCAGGGAAATGAAGGCAAAATTCAAATCAAATGCTTTACTGACAACAAATTCCTCATTGACTCACTACATTCTTCCAGAACCCTTGAAGAAAAGAGGTGATATTAGATGAAGCCTAAAGGATATGATGGCGAAGAGAGAAATCAGTGAGGTAAAGCTGACTGACACCAGAAGTCAACTTTTGCAGCAAGGAAACATTAGCCCTGAACATTAAAAAAGGTACAACAAATGAAAAAATGGGGAGTATTGATTATCTCCCTTGATCTAGAGTTGTTGCATGACACTGGATATTTGTAAACAGCTAACAATATGATTAAAGTGAATTTATACATTTATTTTTTTGTTCTTGAGAATTTACAACACATATTAAACATTATTTGTTTATTTATAAGAATAGTTTTATATTTACAACATTGTAAAAACTAATACAATTGTGTTAAAACTAATGCAAAATTTATCAGTTACCAATTTATAAAGAAATGAATATAAAAAATAATTTTTCATTCATAACTTTATAAACATTTACTAAATTATTAAAATATGTGAACCAACTATAAAGAAATCCTTACTTACCATTTTATAAAGTTTGAATCAATTGTCAATTAGCTAATGTTTTGCCAACCATCCTAATCAACAATATAATAGTATTTATTATATTTGTTGTCAATTTTCAAGGATAATTTAAATGTATGTTGTGTGGTACAAAACTTTATGACTGCCATAAAAAGACAAAAATTATTTTTATTATCACTCATGATGTTAATAAATAAAAAGTAAAACTGAAAAACTGGCTAGCTAACCGGTTTCAAACCTCACTCAACAGAGCTAAATCGAGTTTAATAAATTAAATAGAATTAACACTAAAAAAGGTGGACAACATGTATTGAAAAAAAAAATTTTTCTTAGAGAGAAATTAGTTGGAGGCCCAGTACAAAGTCCTTCTGTTTACACAGAGAGGGCTTCAGTGATAAAATATAGATTGCCTCCAACACTTTCAAGTGGGACTTGCTAAGAATGGTAAATGAGTCCACACTGAAACAAGTAGCATAATTATGGCTATTTATTAGGTGTTCTGTGATGGAAGACCTGTGTGTATTGGTCAGAATGTCTGAAGGAATGTACTTAAGATTGCGGATTTTTGTTGGAACGTGTTGCTTTATTCTGACATCCAGCCTTTTGAGTCATTCTCCCTAGGTAGTGTGAACCACAACTACATTTAAAGGAATAAATTAAAGAACTATTATGATTAATCTATTTCCTTAAATGTAGTTGTGGTTCGAAGGCTGGATATCTATCTAAGCAATAATTTTTTTTTTTTTAATACATGTTGTCCACCTTTTTTAGTGTTAATTCTATTTAATTTATTAACCTCGATTTACCTCTGTTGAGCAAGGTTTGAAACTGGTTAGCTAGCTCATTTTTCAGTTTTACTTTTTATTCATTATCATCATAATTTTTGTCTTTTTATGGCAGTAATAATTTAAATGTATAAATTCACTTTCATGTTTAGGTTTTATTAGTTCTAATAATCACTTTTTAAAAGACTTATTACTGAGGAGTGGAGGTAGTTAAAATAATAGTGATGTCAATGGAAAAACCATCCTTTTGATTTGAAACTCCATTTTTTTTTATTTATTTTTTCACCAAATAGTAAGAATTTGCATTAGAAAGCTATATCTTTTCTTTGATTTAAATAAGCAACTTTCACTTTTCACATATATCACTGGGTTATAGAATATACAAAAATATTTTTTCTATTAGAATTTTCTCCAATTTGCCTTGCATTTCCTTTGTAAGTCATTTAGAAACCACAAAGTTACATGGGTATATTATATCCAAATACACCACATAAGATTTGAGCATCTGTGAGAAGTGACATTGAACCAATCCTATACAGATAGCAAGGGACAATTGTACAGCATACATGTAACCAATCCAATGGAAACCATAATAGAAATTGTTTTCTGCCAATTTAATAGAAACTGTGCAGTCTGATTCACTTCCCAAAACCTGATCAAACATCAGAATTTTTTTTTGAAAGTTTCTTGCTCAGGCCAAGAACTTAAAGCACACTCTCAAATAGACATCTGATTTTGAATTGTCTTTTTTCTAATTTAATAATGCCAAAAAATAACACCAAATCAGCTATATTATGTAAATTTGGGGATTTCTTTTTAATAAAAATAAACATGTTAAAGCAGAATATATTTACAGAGAAAATTTCCAACAAAATCAACATTACAGTTTGTGTATTTGAACAAAATACTTTTTTGGCAAAAATATCTTTGGCATAGCCAACATTAACAAACAACCTTTTTATTTTCTTTTTCAAGGCAAAAAGATTTAAAGTTTAAGAACATATTTTTATGCTGTCTCCTTCAAACAATTGATGAGCCATGTCAATTATCATTGTAAACATTTTGGAACCTGAAAATAACTTTTGTCTGAATTTTTACATGAAGAATTACAATTATTATACTGATTCACTAATGACTAATGTTCTCATATTGTTAGTTATAGAAACAGCATTTCAACCATTGTACCATCTAGTCTTCAGGTTCCTGTCATATTTAGTAACATTCTGGGTATTTCAAATTGAACCCTTCATTCAATCCACAATAAAAGATTATTGCCATTCTACTGTTCATGCTAGAAAATATCTTGATTAATTCCTCTGAACCAGAGTATATAACTTTATACACTCTCTAACCCAGATAGTGAATTCAGTTATAGGACAATAGCTTAGGTTCATAAATCCATTGGTTATGCATATCTGGTTAACAGGCTGTCATGAGTTCAGTCCCTAGATGCTCTGATCCTGAGGAAGAAACAGAAAAATGCCCTCCTAACTGATACAAGATATCCTAGAACATATAAGTGGTATAAGAACAATCTACCTTTGTGGCTTCAATATAGTGTTTGGTTTGAAATACCTGAAGAAGGTTGGAAAGCACACTGGTTGAAATATTGTGATTAAACCTATATGGTCCAGATATGTAAGCAACGACAAAGTTTTAGAGAAACTACATAACATTAGGACGAGACAATTGAAATTTCCAGGACATATGAGGAAATAGGGCTTGGAAATTTGATACTCACAGGACAGATTGAAGGAATGCATAACCTACCTAGCCAGTTCAAGTAAATGGGTGGTGGATAACAAAAAAATAAAATTTATTAAGAACTATAAAGGACAGGAAATTGTGGAGAGCCATGATCACCTACATTCTGAAGGAACACGGCACAGAATTTATAGGCACAATGTTAAGGGCAGAGGCATGGAATTGCTTATTAACATTTCCTTGACCATTCTGAAAATTACCAATAATCATATGAATGGTAAAACTGTGGCAGGAGAGATAGAAATGGTAAGTTCAGTTTTCCAGAATTCTCAAATGTTTATAATTACTTTCAGATAAATAAACAAAAATTTATAGAGATTTAAGACTACATACTCTACTGCTTCTTTTTTTCTGTACACGAGGGTGGTGAAAAGTTTTTAGTTTTCCCAAAAAGGGAATTAAAAAAAAAAAAATGTTTGTTCATAAGTGGGTCAAGCTGAAAACTTTTCAGCAACCTCTTGTTTAATAAATAAATCTCTTTAATTTATGTTAAGTTTCCTTATTTAAGAAAAAGTTGTAAATTAACTAATATTTATTACATTTCTATCTCCCTCTTTCTTTTTCTTCTTGTATTTTTTTGCTAGAGGTTCCAAGAGTACCATGGATGAACCAAGGAAGTTCAAAGCGGCACAAAAGAATAAGGAATTCATCCATTGTCCACGACTGGCATCTCGAATCCAACCTGCAATAGTAATTGTGAAATTATGATAATTTACATGATTGATCAAATTTCCAGCTTTAAAAAATCTTGTTCAAATAACTGCCTTTAAAGTAAATATTCTTTTTAAAAAAATTGATCTCAGTTTATGATATAAAGATTTTTTTTTTTTTTTTTACAAATTTTTATGTCTTGGAGTGAATAAAAATTTTACTTTAACCAATTTTTAATGAAATGCAATAATTGTAAAAACCTTCCAAGTCTTATATTAATAAAAAAAACTTTTTTTTTTTTTTTTTAATCTCAGAGCATAAAAATTGATTGTATAAATTTGAATAGACCATAATACAAATCTAAAATGAAAAAACAAAAAATCTCAACACCTTAAAGAATTTTTATTATTATTTTTTTTTTTTTTTTCAAAAAATGTTTGGAACTATTTGTTATTATTTCAAGTATGCAATAATATAGACATGCAAAAATTACATTTTGTTTTTAAGAATTTAATGATAAAATAATAATTATGTTAGTTTTTCATGTTAAAATTAATAAATGAAGGATATTATGGTTCTATAATACAAGTGTTGCTATATTATTGTGAAAAAGAAACAAAAACATTTTCATGGTAAATATGTAAAAAATATAACTATTAATACAAAAATATTTTCTGGCATTTCTGATCAACAAAAATCAAAGATGAGAAATGAATACATTACAACAAATGTAGAGCTAAAGTTCCTAAAATATCTAATTGATTAAAGGTAAAGACAAAGTACTTACCAATAGCTGGTGGTCCAAGAAGCATCCCCAAGCTAACAAAAAGTAAAGAAAGGCCAATAGAACTTGAGAGTTTGTCTAATCCAAGCACATCAACTAGAACCACAGGAACAAGAGCAATGTATGCTCCTGCAAAGAGTCCAGTAAAGCAGCAGAGTACAGCCAAGCCTGAGTAGCTGTAGATGAAGGGGATGAGGCCAATGGTAATGGAACACAAGAAAAGGCTCATAAAAAAAATATACTGACGGGAAAATAATTTTAAATCAGCAAACCATCCAAAGAAAAGTCTTCCAAAGATATCTGTAAGTCCAATGAGAGAAACAAGGAAGGCACCATGTGACTTTGCCATTCCCAGGTTTTCAGCATGGGACGGAATAATGATAAAAACGTTCATGTATCCAAAACTAGCAAATAACAAGGCAAAACCATAAATCAGAAAGACAGGATCAAGAAGTAATGAACAATCAATACAAGAATTTACATTATTTTCTCTACTGTCACCTTTCGTTTTTATGCAATTAGAAAACTTCTTAACATATGTACAGCAGATTTTATCACTATCTAAGTTTTGGTCGTCATTGGACGATTCTTCCACTGGTATTATAATTATATCACCTAAACTTCCAGGTGTGATGGAATCTGCATGTACTAGTGTGTTCATATGAGATTTTGGTTTATGTGTTTTTAAGTCCTCATTGAGAATGTTGTTGTCATTATTTTTATCAGCAGTGACAGTTTGACTAAGCAGGGTTTCCATGTTTTCTTGTGTCTGTCTTTCTGATGTAATTAAGGACTGACTATGTTTTCTATAATATTTAATCGGCCTGATGAGGCTGCCGCATATGCAGACATGCATCATAACTCCCGCAAGGATCAGAATCACCTCATCAATCTTATAGACATCTAGCATCAACCTGATGATATTGGGGAAGATAAATGAACCAAAACCACTGCCAGATACAGCTATGCCCATTGCAAGTGAACGTCTTTTTTCAAAATGATGACCAACCATCACAATGAATGGAGAATAGGACAACCCAAAACCAATACCTGGAAAGATATATTGAAAAAGAAATGAAAATTCAAAATTTGAAATATATAAAACAGATTTTGTAAACAGGTTATTTTCTTATTTTATTGTTCAATTCCAATATGGATATGAAGTTTTTTTTTTATCCTGAAATTTTGTTAGAATTAAATTTATTATAAAAATAGATTTAGAGAACAAATGAAAAGGAATGTTGATAGTGTCAAATGCAGATACAATTACAGGCTGTTTTTTGTTGTTATTTTTTTTTTTTGCATCTTGAATTGTGGTAATGAGCATTATTGACTTAGTTGCAATCTTGGCTAATGTTAGGTACAAATTTGCCACAAAACTTAATATTAAATTTGGTAACTAATATCACTTTAACATTTGATTCACAAACTAAATAAATGGTGACCTTTCTATTTTTGATGAGTAAAATTACAAACTTCCAATAGAAGTATACTTTGAAACTTATTAAATCTATAAAAAAAAAAAAGACCAAAACTCTCTTTAAAGTAAAACATTCTATAGTTTGAAGCAGTTTATCTCAAAACAGAATAATGAGGTACAAAAAGAATGTTATAAATAGAATTGCATTGTTCTCCAAAAATTAACTTATATTCTTGTGTGTGTGTGTTTATATATATATTTTGTTTTTAACATACGTGTGTTAGCACGTGCAATACCCTGTCTTCATCAGCCACCGACCAGGGGTGATAACATGGTTTCGGTGGCTATGGCGGAACTGCCACCAGGCAGGGTATGAAGATAAGCTAACTGATCATTCCTCTTTGTAAATTCTTGTAATGAAATAAACAAAACGATTGTTCCTCTTTGCAGCTTCTATCCATAATGAAAGTTTCCTGAACGCATTTGCCATTATTGACGCGCTTGTAAAAATCATTTTAGACAACCATGTAAATATTTCACTTGCGCATGTTAGGTCGTGATGTTGTGTGCATTTTATTTGCTTATTGTTTTGATCTCAACCAAATCCAGCTTGACACATGCTGAACTGTTGTTTGAATGTGATGCGAAACATTTATCAAACAACGGCCAGTCATACCTATTAAATTTAACATACATTTGTTAGCATTATTATATAGATATATACATATGAATATAGCATATTTTTATACATCAAGAACAATATTGGAGAAAAATGTATGACAAAGTGAAAAAAGTTTTCTTGTGATACATTTCATCCTTTAGGACTTCATCAGATGAGGAATCCCGGAAATTTTAATTTTTTTTCTTTTCATCACTTTTGTTATAATAAAAGTTCAGCCAGGAATAGTGATATGTTGCAAGAGCCAGGGCACAAAATTCGCCTGGCACAATCTCTATAAACACACTGTGTGATATCTACTAATAAAAGTGATGGAAAGAAAAATAAAAAATAATCTAAACAGAATTGGCTAGAGTTTTTAAAAAAAAAAAATTTTCAATTCCAAGCATTCCCTGTCAGTGCACACATGTAGTCAGACCACCATAACAAATTTAGTCTATATAATTTTTCTGATGAACAGTTGAAATGGCAAGATGTAGCAGTAAGTTCTTTGCTAACAGTTTCTTCTCTTGCACTTCTCACTTCTGGAAATCTCTTCTAGCTTTCCAGTCAACTTTGATCTTCAAAAATGTCATTTATCTTCTGGAATCCTGTTCTTTTATTGTCTTCTCTCCTTAATGTTTTTTTTTTCTTCCTCATAGTCTCTTACACTCAAGTAATCCCTTGTGTTTTAGTGGCTTTATTGTCTTCCTTGGGGTGAAATGATTAAAATATATATTCAACATTAATCAGAGGCTAATTCAAACTATCAGTGTTAATAAAGAAACTTTTTGGCAAGACAGGAAAAATATGTTCATACCATTAACCTTACTTGCTTTTCAGTATTGCTAATATTTATATAGAAAGCTAAGTATAAATATCTTGTCTATATGATAAGAACAGATAATAATGAATATATTGAAAAATTTATGAAGATGAAACCACAGTATTTTTTATCTTAATAAAGAATGAAAGTTGCTGATAAGAGTTAATTGAAACTACTATATTTAATGTTAATATTAGCCATTTCCCTATAAGGAAACATTTAACTGCACAGCCAGCAGAGTTTTCAGTTAAAATTTATAAATTTTTTTCTTAAAACACTTCTTTTTTAGGAAAAAAGTTTTCTCAAATTCAGTAGCTCTTTCCATTATTAATCCTTCTGAAACTTCTATTTGATGTGGTATGGAATGTTAACATCTTCATTATATCATTACTTTCTTGAGGTACATGTGATATCCATTTTAATTGTTGCTACTGTTGGTAGTCCTCAAGTGACGTGGTTTCTGTTATTTGGTACAGTTCTTTATGATTCTATTGCACCAGTCCAGAGTGTTCAAAGCAGGGTGATCTTTGCCAAGATCCTTTTTCACCACTGATTTTAGGAAGTTGTTTTATACAATTGACCATTTAGATATTGACATACAAGAAACCACCTACTCACACACATTTCAGCAAGAAATATATTAAAAAGAATTGTTGTGTATTTCATTAAATGTTATTGAAACTTATCCATTTTCCAAATTTGTCCTAATTCAAAACAGGTTTCTCTTTGTCTATTTATTAAAAATTTACAAAATCCTAATACATGTATAGCAGTGATTTTCTTGGAACTGATGATCCACTATCTCTGAATAGAAACAAAATAACAAGCAATGTGTATGTCTCCCAAAAGATTGCAAAATTCTTATTCTGGACCACTGGTCAGACTATTCTAGAACTAAACTGTTGTGCAAGAATTATGTGTATATAGCATACATACCACCAAACTGTATGTCTTTTCCAACCTCAATATCAACAAACTCTGAAAGCGAAGTATCATTCATTTTTCATGAAATGTATATTAAGTATGAAAATTTCTGGTAAGCCTTTTGTGATGCTTATCAACATGATATCTGTCTTTCTGTATAACAGTGAGTGCTGGAAATTTCCTCAATGATGAAGAGGAGATTTAAAGTAACAGAAATGTGGTTCTACAGAAGGAGGATGAGTATACTATAGACCATATATGAGCAAAAACAAAGTTTTAGAGAAAATGGAAGCAAAATGGAAACTTATACTTAACCTCAGGAAGAAAAAGTTGAAATTTCTAGGGCACATAATGAAGAAAGAGGGCTTGGAAAAACTGATACTCACAGGACAGATAGAGGGACAGAGGAAAACAACACATGACATGCTTAATGAGCTTGAGTAAATGGATGACAGAACAGTGTTTAGAAGAAATAGCAAAGACAAAATTTATTAAAGAGCTACAATGGACAAGAAACTGTGGAGTGCCATGATCACTTATGTTCTGAGGAGACATGATGCATAAAGAAGAATCAAAGAACTTATGATAAATATTTATTGAAACAAATTTTTAACACTCTTAATTATTTAACTCATATCTTCCTGGCATCAATTTAAACTGATGTCTCCTTTTGTTTTTTTTTCTATATATCCAAAACTATAATTATAAGCTATAATATTGGAAAGTGGAAATTTCACTCCAAATGTGTTAGAAAATTTCCAAGTTTTCTTCTAAAAATCAAGAAAATACAAACTTTAAACAAAATAGTCACAATATATGTTTAAACAGACACTAAGAAAATATGGATTAATAATATGAGATGTACATAACTGTTGGTCAGGTAAAAATGAATACTTCAGCACTGTATTCAAGGGTACCAGAAAATCAGTTGTGTTCTTTGAGAAAAATGTGTGACTTATATGCTTTCAAATACACTAATTGATTTTTTTTTTCAAAAGTAAAATTAAGATGTAGAAGAAAAAATTTAACCGTCATAAAATGTTCACAATTGGTGGGAACAGATAATCATCCCGATATACACCATCAGAGCAGTCATTTGAATGTCACACACACTAGGTTTTGCCAACAACCTCATTTCCTAAAGCAATCTAAGGGGGATAAATGCTTATTATTGACAAAGACAAAAATATTTATTAATATGAAAACATAGATCTTTAAATGACTTCTTACCAAATTTGTTCTGACGGTTTCATGTCACTTAGCTTCATGTTTCAAAAGGGCTTACAACCATATCATATTAAGCAACATCATACCTGGTTAGTACCTAAATGGGCGACTGCTTGAGAATATCAGATACTGTAAGTTTGGATGTGCAGGTGGTGTAATTAATAATGGCTTAGAATTGGAATGGCTGATTATTTTTAATAAAGTAAATCATAAATTATGTTTTATAAAAACATTTCAGAATATCAATTTACTGTATTAAAAATAAATTACATTATGATTTACTTTATTAAAAATAATTAAAAACAAAAAATTGCTTTTGCATTTTCTGATTTATTTTTTAAAAAAATAATTAAAAACAAGTGTGTTTTATTGAGTTATTTTTTAAAAATAAAAATTATTATTTTTTTAAAATAAATTTTTTTAAAATAATTAATAACAAAAAAGTAGTTTATATTTTACATAATGCCTTTTCAAATGCCTTATTTGAAGAAAGGTATTCACTAATTAAGGTTTTAATCCTTAATAAATTACTTTTATTCAGTTATAAAAAAAAAACAAAAAAGAAAAAAAATTGTTTTTCTGTCTCAGTCCTGAGCTGTCCTAGTGTTCAGTCGGCAGTGCTGAGTTGTCCTACACCCCTGGTAGCAACACTGCAATACTACTGCACAGACACTCTGATCCTAGACAGAAGTACCAATCTAGATATAAATAATACTGTCATTTTTGACAAATATAATAATAATCATGAATGATTAAAAATGCTTACATGAATTTGTATTTCTTATCAGCATATTCTTTTTATGCAGTCAATAGTTTAATGTAGATAGAAATATGGGATATTATATACTGTACTTAAGAAATTTAAATTAATGTGATGGTACCTTCCACATGTCACTGCACAAGCTGTGATGACCTCCAAGGTCGGCTGTGTACACATATGCACCTGATTTATTATGTTCACAGGTTTGGCCATGATCAAATTCAACAATGAATAATGACATGCTTTTCAAGACACTGACTGGGAAGTAGTGATCAGTACGATTTCTCAATCGGCAATATCTTCTTTCAGCTACAAGAAAGTGAACTGCTATCTTACTAACTTACATTCACTGCCCAACCCGGAGACTGCTGGCTCATTCATTGCCGTTCCTTTCCTTACTGACAGCTGGTCCCTTTTTCACTGACTCTGCTTACATGGATACTGGCTGGAGTCCCACCACCCCTATCCATCCACTTGTGTTCCAAAAAAAGAGACCACCCATTCAGCTTTTATGTGGTCAGTTTTTCAAAGGACTCTACTTTTATGATTAACTAAAATCACTAACAAAATTTTATGTTTGCCAATTCAAAGGCGGGCTGGAGACAGGAATTCTGAAAAATCATGGTTGTTAAATTGACTCAAAGATGAACTGGAGAAGAGATTCCTAAGAACTCTGTCATTAAATTGACTTAAAAGGAAAAAGAATCTATTTATCTCCTAATGATGTGTGAGAAATCATATTGCTAGGTTAAGATAGAGATGAGAGTTAAATTGCAATTTCAAAGAGGGATTCAAACAGTAGTTTGATCCTAGTAATACATTAAAATGCTAAAAAATTAACTTCAGAATCACAAAATGGGCATGCATATTAACAAATAATGAACAGAGACCAAGTGTTCTGTTCAAGCAGTTTATTTCCATAGCGTACAAAAATACAAACAATCTTTGAATCCAAAAATATTATCTTCAAAGATGAACAGAGTTATTTCAAATTGAAGCTGCATATAAAGATCCATTAAGTCTTGGAATTGATTTGAGAAATCATTATTAGCAGAGATTAGTAAATAAATTTTCTCATAACATGTTTTTAATGGTCTGAAATTTTGTTCCGAACATTTATTCACATGGAATGAAAACATCCTTTTTCTCAAAAGATTTTGAAAAAAATGGAAATTATATTCCTGGAGAGAAATAAATTAATTACTGAAGATTATACAGTTTCCATTAAGAATGAAATTTAGTCACAGAAAGCAGGTTAGTTTCAAGCACCAAAAGATCCTTTAAAACAAGAGAAAATATTTTGTAATCATAAAAGAAATTACAATAGATACACAATTCCTGAGTAAATCATTTTCTATTCCAATATTTCTATCCATCTAAAATGAGTGTTTTCCCAAGTGCTGATTAGAGAGCTGTATATGATTATCTTTATACATGATCACTAATTCCTTAAAGAAGGTATTATACAGTCAGTAAAGACAAGATAGAATATCTTTTTATATGATAGAAGCATAAGCTTTCAAACACAAAAGTATGAGTATTGATAAAAATGAAAAGCTATTTGCCTTTGTACAAGTAACTGATGGGCAATGGTAATATTAACTATTTCCTTATTTGGAAACATTTGGCATTGAACAACCAGTTCTTAAAATTCTTTCTGCTAAAACAATTTTTCAAGAAAATAGGTTTCTCAAATCCACTGTTATCACTCTTTCCAGTACTGATGAGGATCTTCCTTCCTAACCTTTTGCCCAAAGTAGTGTGGATTATATCATTATTTCCTCTTTGAGTTATACATTCTATCCTTTTTAATTGTTGCTGCTGCTGAAACCCTCAAGTGATGCGGTTTCTGTTATTTGGTACAGATCTCTGTGATTCTGTAGTACCAATTGAGGAGGTATGAAGATTGGTCCATGTTAAGACATACTGGTTTCATTCATCCAAAGCTACTTATAATCATTGATCTGAGAAAGTAGTTGTATATAGCAGAGAGTTTAGATATTTCTAAATGGGTTGGGCACCATGTATGACATCTATATGAAAGTCTTGAGCTGAAAACATGACAAGTTCATAGGTTAATGTTTTTAGCTTTATAGCATCTTGCAGTGTTGGACAAACATATCCATAGTGCAGCCTATTCTATGCTTAATTTCTTTATCTCCTATATTAAATTTGTTATAACTGATCCATACATTGAGGTATTTGAAATGTTTTGATTTATTAATCAACATACTGAATATTTATGATTGATTCATTATTTTCATTCCAATTCTAGATCATAGTTTCTGAAAGTAATTAAATTAGTAAAAACAAAAAAATGATTCAGCTTACCTGCCAGAAAACCATAGGATACAAATAGAAGCCATAAGGAATGGACAAAAGAAGTTAAGAAGAATCCTAATCCAAGTAATATACCACCAGACATCACAACACATCGATAATTAAACTGATTTGCCAATGCATTAGCAAATGGACCTGAAATTAAGCAATACAACATAAGTGCTAAAAGAAAAAGAAATAAAAATTGTACTCAGTGCATAAAACAAGATATTCATGATTACAAATTTTAGCATGATGATTAGATGTCGGCAAAAGTTTTTTTTTAAAAAAAAAAAAATCCAACTTCATATTAAGTCATTGGTTCCCAAACAATGCAGTGCAGCTCATAGGTGCAGCAGAAAAGGATAGCAAGTGAGGCAGAATTATTGAAAGACAAAGATGTAGGAACAGTTTAAAAAAAAAATTCATACAGCAAAAATAAATATGATTTCAAAATTTAAAATATTATTATGGATTATTTGTAATTGCATTCATCAGTCCCAGTATAAATAGTTATAAATAATTACTGACTGATTTTATCACATAAAATTTGGAGAGGTGTGAGCAAATTTTCATTATGAAACTGCGACCCAGAAAAAAAAAGTTTAAGAATCATTGTATTAAGTTTTTATTCTTCATAAGAGTCATAAAAATCTTTTATTTCAGACCTAATAGTTTCAAGTAGAAAACAATAAAAATCAAAACAAATTAAAATTGCAAAATATTTCAATTAATTAAACATTACTTCTATTAATATAAATTATTAATATTAAACATTGACTTATATACCAATATGGTAAAACAAAAGGTTAGCCAATCCTTGCTGAAATTGGTTGTCCCCAACCAATTCAATAGATTTTAATAATCAACAGGAGGCCTGTCACACCTAATAATTAAAATGAACCCAACCATGGAGCTCAATATAGTGATTTACTAAGCATAGCTTAGATGTGACACAAGGCCGAAAGTATGGACCATTCAATGAGGTTAAAATTCACTACTCAGTCATAATTGATTTATACAATTTACTAGGCATAGCATAAATGTAACACAAGGTAAAAAGAATGAAGCACCCAGTGAGGACTGAACTAGCAAGATAAACTCGTTAACCATTACACCATGTTAAAGTGCCTCCATGGAGCTCAATATAATCTCAATTTTTCCTCAGATGAAGTTTTTTTTTTTTTTTTTTTTTTTAAGCCACTCAAGGTAGATGGTTACTAATTGCTGTAAGGGTCTTTTCCTTACAGGTGGAAGTAAGAAGTGCATATTATGAGGATATGTAGGATAAATATGCATATTTGGAATCAGGATGTATTTGTAACAGCACTGGGTTTTAATTATACCATTCAAAACTAGTGTACTTTTGTACTAGCTGCATTTGTGATGGTATTAATTAACATACTTAATGGTGTATTTATATTGGGAGCATAGAGTTCTGGCAACTGTTATTGTTAGACTGGCATGCTGGTGTACATAAAAAGTATGACCCAATTAAGAGAATTAAAATTATTCTGCACAGTGAGGTTTCTAAACATGAAATGAAAATGTTTTGAATAACAATGGTTTGTTTATTAAAATATCACAATTTTGCAATTTTAAAATGTAATGCAGAAATTTAATAACTTTAACCTTTCCTGGATGTGACTTTTTTTATGTGCAACATTTTTATTCAACCTCCATATTTCTTTATAAAACTATTAAAATTTTTCATAATCATATAGATTAATAATTTAATATAAATATTTTGTCTCTTTCCTTAACATACTCACTTCTATCTTGGATATTAGGACATTTACATAATGTTAAGTCAATGTCCTCTTTAAAATCGTGTGTTTGAAATAATGTCTATTAGGTGGAGCTATTTAGTTGTAATTGGAATACATTTAGTATTTATACAATTAACAAATCATATTTTGCCACTTTGTTAGTTCCAAGGATCAGGCAAGAAAAACTTATTGAGACGAAGCCATATTTTCTGAAGAAATTTGCATTTAACACATAATACCATATATGTTTTTATTAGAATTATCAATATAAATTATTATATGACAACTTGTATTTATTTTGATAAAATAAAATCAGATTTACTAAACTATAGAAAATGATACTAATATATATAGTTGGCACTGACTTTCTCTTTCTCTTTGTAGTACCATGATATACATTTGGGCATCATGATTATTTTTACTAAAAACAAATAGCTCTACAAATCAAGGTTAAAAGAATGACACTGGGAATATCTACATTGACATAACACTTTATAATGCCTTAAATAAAACTATCAAATGGATGTACATGTTTGTGTGTGTGAGAGGCAATACACAACATGCCATAAGATTTATTGTTAGGTGATATCTTAAGTTGTAAATGATTCCATTCTTTTAAATTAGGTGAAAGCTATATGAGGAATTTAAGTTATAAATTAAACAAAAAACATTATCTACATGCTTTTAAACTGTAAAGTTATTTAAAATACAAATATGATCAGTATTTGCTAGAAAACAAAAATATACTTTGCATGTTAAAAATACAAAGAGCTTCTGAAAACATTTCTGATAAAATTTTCTATTGTTATCAGTAAAATTACCAGTTTATTCTGCAATTTAAAAACAAGTATATTTAATTACTTAAAGCATGTCATTTAGCAGATATACAAAATGAATATGAAGTCCTTTCCTGATTACATAAAATTATATCTTAAAAGCTATGGTACAAATTAAATTTCTCAAGAGAAAAAATATTTTTGTGTTAAGGTATAATTTGCAATAAATCATGTTTGTACCACGCATAGATTTCTTTGTGCTATATATTTTAAATAATGGAACTACAAGGAGGATTTACATGTAGTATAATGGTTATAAGCATGGTAAGTGTGATTAGTGTGCCATTCAAATTCCAGCCAAGTTCATTGTGTTTCCCTTGGGAAACGTATAAATCCATCTCTTTTCCTCCCAGTTAGTAAAGGAGACTCTCTAGCTTCAGTTGGCAACCAGTCTAGTAGAAGGACAATCCTGAATTCAAAACAGGTTGGGTATGGGGCTGGCAACTCCATCCCATAGAAACCTACTTGCTACAGAAACCACAGCAGCAACACCCAGTGTAGTGAGGCTGTGGCCCTATACTCCACAGGAGAGTCTATTGAAAAGTTTGACCGACTTTCCAAAATTTGACCAAATGGTAGGTTTAAGTCCAAAACATATTTTGTATTGTAAGAATAAGTCTTTCTTTTTTTTGTCTTTTCTTGCAAGTGAATATTACATAAACAATTTTTGGAGATTATGATTTTCATAGATACAAACCCTACTATTTATACCATAGCTGGGGGAAGAAGAGATGGATTTATACATTTCTCAAGGGTATTTGCATGTAAGTGAATGTAACAAATTTGATTGGGTCAAGAAGAGAAATGTAAACGCAATGCAAAATGCCTGAAGTCACTCTATTAGACAGAATTTTATCAGAACATTTAAAAAACAAAATAATTATAAAATAAAAAACAATGAATTCCAATTCAAATATTGACATTCTACAAAGCTTACCCAAAGCAAACATCAAGAAATTGGACAATGAATAAACACTGGCTAATTCACTGGAAGTGGCAGAAAATTTCTTCTGAAATTCCTCAAAAAATACTCCAAAAGATTTCAAGCCTCCAACAGTAAACACGTGCATTCCAAATGCCCCTTTAAATAATAAAACAAAGAATTCAAGGGAAGAAATACAAAAATTAGTGAAAAAATATGAAAGAATTTTGCATTTATTAACAACTTATTTTTTGCATGTAAAGTTATCTTGTTAGTCGAAAAGTTAATATTTTGACAATTTATTGACAAAATGATGAGACTGTGTTTTCGTCTTTATGGAAGTTAATTTAACAAAGATATCTTTTTATAAAAAATATAAAAAACAATTTCAAATGATTTAATTAAAAAGACAAACAAGATGTAAATCTAAAATTGAAGCTTTTTTGAAAATTGTTAAAACAGTCATTTAACAGCAAATTAAAAAATCATATCTTATATTCATGTGGGTAAGGGTATGATATCAATTTTGACCTCTATTTTAGATTTGGTATGTACCCATTTCTTTTTTAAGATTTCTACAATACTAAGCAGAATCTGAATAAAAATATGATTTGTGGAATTTTTGACGAATTGCTTCCCTTAAAACTGAACATGTTTATTTTGGACCATTAATTCTGCTGAAAATCTGAATATTTGACAGTCTCAGACATCTCATGTGTCAGTTAACAAGAATCATTTTTCTGTTGTGCAATATAATTATGATGAATAGCACAAGTGCATAAGGCTAAAGACTGAGGTTTTTCATCACTTCAGTCCTGAAAAACAGCTGAAAAGGGGTCTAAAATAAGTATTTTAAAGGACAAAATACTAAAATTATAGTAACTTGATAACCATTTGGGAAAATGCTAACCTAAAATCCTCAGAGATTTGTTAATGTCATCTGACTACTGAACAATGATATTCATTATGCTCAAAAATTTGGGGTAAGATCCCATTTCAGTCCAATATACAATCAAAAATAAAATGAATACTGAAAACTCATGGACCATGAAAATCCTTGACCAATTTAATTTGTGCATGATGTATTAGCTAGAATATATTGTTCCACTGAAACACCAAAGATTCAAATACTACTTGAAGGTGTCACATAGTGTCCTTATTAACTTACTCATAATAAGAATATGACTGAAGGTGGGGGTAGAGTCAAATCCAAAATAGTAAGAGAAACAAAAGTTATGAATACAATAAAATTGAAAATTCAGCTTTAAGCAAACTTGATCACAACATCATAAAGCTGAATTCCTATTTTAAGAACCCCTCTACCAATTTGTTTAAGTACAAATGATTTCTCAATTTGTATCATGTTTCCTTCCTTGGAAATGTCCCACTCGCCATCAATATCACATACAACAATGGATTCAGGTTTCACAATGTCTCGGCCTGATTTTGGAGGATGTTTCCATTTCAAATGAGATGATTTCTGAAGTCTATGAAAGTATTTCATTGTGTATATGCCATCAGAATGTTTCTCAATCCAAGCTGCTAAGTACCATGTGTCTACATCACCTTCAGTAAGCAAGGTGACATAATTGATCCCAACCACACTATCGTTCTAATCATCCCCACTGGAAGAACTTTAGAATGAAAGAAGAAACTGTTCTGCATTTGTGTTAGATGGCAACATAACATATTTGGACATGGGATCATTGCCTGAAAGAAGTGCACATAAATTCAGCAGCTGTTCATCATGACTAATGTTGATCCTGAACAAATCCAGGTGTTGAAGGATATCTGATTTGTGACAACTCGATATCAACAATCTTTTCAACGTTATCATGATTAGACTTCAGAATACCATGAAGCGCTTCAAAACTGGTTGCTGGCCCATTTCAACTTTTGCAAAGTTGAAATCATTTTGGGGTATACCTTGATTGATTATTTCCTTTCTCAATTCTATCCATGATTTTCAATTTGTGGAGTTCTTTCTAGTCAGCTACCCACTCATTCTCCATGTTGTTCAAAAGATTAACAATTGAAATGAAGCTTTTGGTTGGTGCGTTGTGGAATGTCTGTGATTGGTACAGTTACATCATTCCAGATTCATTTTGCTGTGAATTTCTTGTTACAAAACTTGGCTACTGGTACTCTTTTCCCAAACACAGAGAAGTGAGATTCTGAATTAAGGTTATTTGTTGGCAAACCAGCTTGCACCTCTTTTGTCAGGAGATTTAATGCATTAATTTGAAAAATTTTTTCAGATTTTGATTTCTTTTAGTATTATGTTTGAAAAAAATGGGGATGTGCAGAATTTGAACATATACCCCCTACCCCTAATATTCATCCAGAAAATACTATACTAAAAAGAAAACTGTTTTGAAGATGGAAAATTTTTATTTTTTTTTAATCCATTTAGTTTCTTAAAATAATCACAAAACTTTTTACATAAGTATAGAAATAAGTTTGTAGCCTATTTATTTTTTATCATGATCTCTTTTCTTGTCAATGTACTTAATTCAGTGGTTAATATTAATATAGATTAATGAAGAAATATTGAGTTAAGCATATTGAAATAAGTTGAAAATAATTATTTGTAGCATAAAATGAAAGCCTTCTTCATCATTAGGCTAGACTTATTGATGTACCTCTATCTTCCTTACTTATAAAATATTGTATATTGAGTGCTGATGCTAATAAAACAGTACTTGATGTATAATAACAGAGCTAAAATTTTTATTAATATTTTTTTTCCTGACCTGGTGAGGAAAAATGTATATTTATTATTAATATAAAAATATAAATGCAACTTAAAATAATCAGAACACCAACCTTTCTGTTACCATGGTTTCTATCAATCTGGTATCATCAGGCAGTAAAAGATTTTACTGCCTGACAATATCTAATTTGTAGAAACCATGGTAACAGAAAGGTTTGTGTTCTAATTATTTTATGCCTTAAATTGCCCTACTTTTTTTAAAAAATGTATTGAGCACTTTTTAATTTAAGGCATTCCTTGGCAAATATTACTTATTTTGTAAAGTATATATATATATATTGTCAACTGACAATCTAAATGTTTCATTTTTTTTCCAATATTTAAACAATGCGCGCACACACACACACATATATATATATTATTGATAGACTAGAAAAAAAACTTGAACATCAACTGATGAATACAAAACAAGAAATCCAGGACCTATACAAGGCTAAGGCGGCGAAAGATAGGCTATAAATTCTATCAAAACAAGAAAAAACTGCAGCTGATGAGCTACATAACTACATCAATAGTTCAAATAGCAGATAAAAGTAAAATCAATGTCATATTAAATAAATCAGATTATTATTCAAAGATGCAACAAATACTGAACGATCACACCAAATTTAAAAAGGTTGGTAAAGATATGATTAACCAATTAAAATTAAAGAAAAATCAAACTAATCACAGCTACTAATACAGGACTAGATAGCTTAAAACTCCCTAAAATAATTTGCGACTATAAACCAGGATACATGTATAGAACTATAAAAATACATAAACCTAACTGCCCTCACCAAATTAAACTCTGTCCATCCTACTCTTAAGTGCACTGTAGAAAAGGAGTCCAATTATTGTCTTTCCTTTTTGGATGTTCTTGTTCATAAGATCATTGACAAGTTTGAGAATTCCGTATTTAGGAAGGCCACTTTCTCGGGACTTTATACGCATTGGGACTCTCTTTGTCCCAGACAACGAAAGATTAATTTGATTAAAGCCTTAATTTACAGGTAACTTATGTTCTGATGGCCTTCTCTGCAGTGAAATCGAGTTTGTTAGAGTGACACTATCAAAAAACGGATATCCTTTGGATGTTTTAGACTCTGTTATTCAAGACATCATTAGTAAGTTTCATGAGGTTAAACTGCAATTTGTTGATAAATGCCCAGTTTATCCGCATCTTCCCTATATTGGTACAGAGGGTGAGAGTTTATCTAAACGAATTTCATGTTTGATCAATAGCTGTTATTTTTCAGTGAATGTTAGGGTAATATTTGTTACCTGTCCTGTTTTCTCTTCCATTCATAAGGACGTCCTCCCTCCCCATCATGTTAATTCAGTGATTTACCAATACAAGTGTAGTTGTGGACACGACTACATAGGGAGGACGTCCCAGCGTTTGGATTCGAGAATAAAACAGCATTTACCCCCCCAGGATTTTGACTGCCAGGAAGAGCCAACTAACCAATAGTTCTGGCTCTGCTATTGCATATAATAAATAGTAGGAAATGTGTGGTTAATTTTAGTGTGGACCGTTTTTTGATTTTATCTAGGTCCCACTCCACATTTCACCTCAAGGTTCTAGAGTCCTTGTATATCAGATCCCGTGAGCCTCCCCTTTGTAAACAGAGGAAATGCTTACTGGGTCTAAATGTTATTGGACTCTAGTTTCTTGAAATTCATTTTTTTTTTCTCTTCCATGTTAATTTGAATTAATTTACACGCTTTTTAAATTTTCTATTCTCAGGAAAAAAATATAAACTTGATAAGTCCTGGGATGAAGTATGATGAGTAAGGAATTAAAAAACTTAAAATATTGAACTTTATTATTTCTGATTCAATAATTATTGCTCGAGCTAAAAATCAAGTACTTCATTGGCTAAAATTTTGTTCATCCTGATATCATTATATTATATAATTTCACATATTAATATCTAGCATTATTATTTTATTATATTTAAAGAATTAATGCATTTATTTTTTAATCCAACATTTTTATTACTTCAAACATTACTATAGTGGATATCTTGGATTTGAAAGACACCACATTTTTGTTTATTAAAGAGTGTATATAACATCTATCGACCTGCATATTCAAGAAATTTCAGTGAAAAATTTGTGGCTGAGCAGTAAAGTATACTGGATCAAACATTTGTTTCCTGTCTTCAAAAAATTTAATGCAATATCAATAGTCATCTTCTGTCTCCTTGAATCCTGTTCTCTGATTGTCCTGTTTTATTGCTCTCAATAACACTTGCATACTAGTGGCTTTTATTGCCTTGCTTGGGGTGAAATAATTAAAAAAAAGAAAAAGAATTGTTTAAAATTGCACACATATGTGAAAGAGAGAGAGATTAATGGAGAAGTGATGGATTAAGTACACTGACAAGGAATGAGAGTATGTTGAAAAATAAGTATTTGTTATAGAAAACAAAGGTTTATTTCATCATTAGGCTACAGATTTATTGACGTAACTACATAGAAAGCCAAGATAATTTTTATAAGACAAAATAAAATGATACTCACCCAACATCACCATCCATGCCCATCCATGGTCAATCGGATAACCATCCAATTCTTTTTTACCGTTATTTTGAAAAGATTTCACCTCTACTGGTACTTTATCCTTTTCCATATTTAACTTTATAGAATCAAGTTACCATAAATCTTTAAGAAACCTACAAGAAAATTTACACAAGCTTCAAGATACAGAACACGTTATTAGAATAGTTTATGTGGTAAGATTAATGCTTATTTCTGAAAGCAAGAAAACCAAAGATGAATCTAAGACTTATTTCTAACTATTTTTGCAGTCAATATGCAGAGATATTTAGAAATAGATTAATATGGTAAGATTAGCCATTTACATACAAGAAACATTCAACATTCATTGACTATACAATTAGTGTTACTGTGAAGTTTGTAAAAACTCTTAAAACAGTTTTTCAGGAAAATAGGTTTCTCAAGTCCAGTAACTGTTCTTGTTCTTCCTAGTATTGCTGGGGGTTTCTTCCTTAATGTTATGTTTAAAATAGTGTGAAAAGTCAACATCTTTATATCATTATTTTCTCTTCAAGTTATATGTTCTATACATTTTCATTCTTTAAATGATGTGGTTTTTCTATAAAATTTGGTAAAATTCTTTGTGTTTATGTAGTGTTGAGCAAAGACAGTAATAAACACCAAGACAGTCATCAAATGTCAAAAAATGGTTTCCGAGTCAGCGGATCTACATATCCTTCTGATTAATAAATTAGCCCTTTGAAAATAAATATTGACCATTTTTCAACCAACTAGTTGCATTCCCACTGACAATAAAAAAAAACATGCTTTATGATCCCTTTGAAAAGTATATAAGCAATGTCTCTAGACTGACAAAACCAGTAAGGAGAAGGAACAGAAACATATAACAAGTTCAAGAAACATCAGCTTAAAAGAGATTCCCTTACTCATTCAGCCATCTTCCTCACTAAGCTGTGTGACACTTACACTTTCCTTCACTTTCTCCCTTGCCTCTTTTTTCACACATACACATGAAGAAATAATATGTCTTTTCATAACAACAATAATAATAAACCATCTTTATTTAATATCAGATTTTTTTTTAAAATATACACAGACTTTAAATGGGAGTGGGGTATAAGGTACTATTCCACCCAACTCCAATTTTTTTTTTCCTGACAATAAGAGGAAGTAAAAAATAAGAAAAAAATATACAAAAAAAAAAACATAAAACAGAACAGTAAAACACATCAACAACAAATCAATAAAACAACAGTGGTACGTACTTGTGCCCTCTAAAACAAAACAAACAAAAAATATTTTAAATGCATATACATACACAGGGTGTTGGTAGAAGCCAGTAAGGAACTGATACCAACCGGACAAGAAAATATTTTAATTGTTTATAAGAGCAATACAATTTTATTGTGAATCCAATAAATATTTCCTATTGTATTTTTTAAATGAACACAAAGAAATAATTTTAATATTCAAAGCTTTTGAAATTTCATTGAATTTCTTACATATCAAGACAAAAAAAGACATACCCTTTTAGTTTAGTTTTAGTAAATAGGGGATCCATTTGGCATGTATTTCACTACGAGTTTTTTTATGGTTCAACAGATACACAGGCACTTTATTATTTTTCTATTGAACATTAAAATGAGGCTATTTAGCAGTCACATGTTCTTCATATTTAAAATGTTATTTTCCTTTAAAAAAGGCACTTAAATGATCATATTTGGATAAACTGAAAGCAAAACAAATATATCTGCTCTGTAATTTTTTAATTTTATTATGCAACTGTTCACTTACATTTTGCATAAGACCATCACCATAATTAGAGAGAGAATGTACATTTCAATTAATTTTTGCTTAGATAGATCACTTAAAAAGTATTTGAACTGTAATGCACTTTTTAGCTTTTGAAGAAATCCTTACATCCATCTTTTTTCTGAAGTTAGTGAGTGCCAGGTAATAAGAGAAGTTTGCTCAATAAAAATGAATGATTGTAGGATAGATGGAATTATGTTTTTTTCTTGAAATTACGAATTAAACATTTCATATATAATAAACAATTCTATATCTTACAACAAATTTCAACTAGATGGAAGAATGCACTAGTTAAGCCAATACCTAAAAGTAATAACCCTACTTGTGCTTCAGATTACCAACCCATAAGTTTATTGCTGGTGTTTTTGAAGGTAATAGAAAAATTAACTGCAAAGCAAATGATTAACTATTTGAAAGAAACCAATTATTTTGACACTTTACAATCTGCTTATAAGCAATTGCATAGTACAGTTACAGTGCTCTTAAACATCATAGATGATATATATGAATGTATTATTGCTTCAGAATTTGTTTTTCTTGTTCTACTTGATTATTCTAAAACCTTTAACTGTACTAATCATCAACTTATACTCGCTAAGCTTATGGCTGCAGGATTCTGTGATAACTCACTTTTAGAGTAGATTTTCTCATATCTTAGTGGCTGATAACAAAAAGTTATAATGAGCAGCAAGGAATCTTGTTTGAATGTAATGCTAAATGGGGTCCCCTCAGGGTTCAGTCTTGGGCCCATTGCTCTTTACAGTGTTAGTTTCTGATCTTGGTTCTTTTGTAGAGAGAGGTAGATACCACATGTACGCTGGTGATACTCAATTGTATTATTCATGCAAATATGAAAAAATAAAGAAAACTGTTTCGAACATAAACAGTGATCTTGAATGAATTATGGATTATTGAAAAAAAGTATTGTCTAAAATTAAACACTGAGAAAAGTAGATTTATTTTAATTGGATCTCGTTGTAATCTTAGAAAGGTAAAAGGTGATCAGCTGGATCCAATTATTATCAATAAAAGAATGACTGAAAAGGTGTTTGAAGTGAAAAATCTAGGTATTGCTTTCAATGAGGAATTGACCTGGACCAGGTAGGTAAACTTGACCATTACTGAAGAAATTTATTTTTTAATGTCTCTTGTTTATTTCCAAGCAATGACAGAATACAAGGAGCACAATAACACTAAGCCTTCAACAATGAAAACACTATTTTCCATATAATCACCATTCATTATACATTTACACCAGCAATGAATAACAATACAGCTTGTCACAAACATGGCTGTTACCACTGCATTACTCAGTGCTCACATCCATTGTTTGGTCTCTGTATATACAATCAGCAAGCATCAACAAATGTTAAAGAGTGCAATTTTTTCTGCATGGAGTAATTCAATAACACACCTCTGCTGTGGATGCACTTCCATGTTAGACACAGCAGCAGTCTGACAAAATAAGTTAAAAAATTATGGGCTATTGCCAGAAATGTTAACTCTTTACTCCCATACTACCACCATCTACCTCTTTTGTAGTGGATTAATATAAAATAATAGGCATTACTTTCAAAGTGAACCTAAGGTGTGTGTATATGTAATTTCTAAGAGATTAATAAATTTTATTGTTAATCCAAAATTATTCTGTATTACTTTAAACATTATATATTAGTGGATACATATTTGAAAGGCACACTGTTTGTTTTTTTTGTTTTTTTAAACAGTGTGAAGTACATCTACTAGCTTGGGCAGTTGGGTCTTAATAAAATAAATGTGCACACTTCAAGAAAGGAAAAACTTGCAATACTAAATTTATTCAGACATCACGAGATTAATACAAGTCACCTTTGGCCAATTACAAGGGATGCTCAAAATGGTGGTTTTAGTTTCCAGACATTTATTAGCATGCCGAACTACTGCATGGGCAATGTTGGCCAAAGAATCCAGTGGAATTGTGGCACATACATTTTCAATTTCTTGACTACAGGCTGCCAATGTAGTTGGTTTTCTACAATACACATCCTTTAGGGTCCCCCATACTAAAAGTTTGCAGATGTTAAATCAGAAAAATATCATACAACAGTAAACAGTGTTATCACAAATGGCTAAAACTACAAATGACAAGTTTTTCCTTCCCTAAGTGTGTATACATGTTTTTAGCCAACTCTCTCTATATATATATATATATATATATATATATATATATATATATATACACACACACACACACACACACACACACACTTTGTTATTCAACAGACCAGATCTGTTTAATATTTTATTGTATTTTGGAAATTTTAAAATAAGTTGTCATGCATTCAAATCAAAATTTTTGATAAACTGTTCTCTATGTTTGTGTATGCATACAATTGTTACTCTTATGTTCTCACATGTAAGTGTTAAAAATATATTTTTCCACAATTATTATAGTTTACTCGTTTGTGCATCCATATATCAATATTGTCCAATCCCATTTAGTCACTTTTAGATTTCACAGAAAATTTCCTTTCTTTCTATTATTCATTGAAACATACCACTATTGTCATAATACAACCACCACCTGACATTGTTAATACAAGAGAGAACTATGTCATGTCATACATTCAATTCTCTACAAACAGACCAACAGTGTGCTTTAACAGTAAATAATAGAGAATTACAGAGTGAATCAAACATTAATACTATTTAATGTGAAATAATACTAAAATGAATATAAACTAATTCATACAAGCTTTTGTGATTTGATGGTTTACATATAATAAACTGAAAGTGTAAAGTATAAACAAATGTATTTCTGCATATTATAACAATATCACTTTTGAAACAGAACACTCAAAAAATTTTCAATCAAGTGTCCTTCAAAAGTAATAAAAATAATACAGACAGGAATCATTTTGATAGACACAGATATCATGACTAAACTAGACTTCATCTGCTACTGAAACTGTAGCAACATCATTTGATATGTTAATAAGGCCCTAATCTCCACAAGGAGATTTTTTTTACAATGTACAAGGTAGAGGGTTACATAAGAATAAGCGTACTAGGTATGACAACAAACTACATTCACCAGCCTCTGATCAGGAGGTTTTGAGGAGCATGGACCCACCTCTTAATTGATGTTGTTCCTCGGTCCACCATGTGGTAGCACCTCTTAGGGCCCCAGTTATGGGCAATAGTGAACTCCCAAGCTGGGGTCAAAAAACTATAAAAGTATAAAAATACATTTTTATAGTAAAAATACCAGGCTTTTGAAGAAACTGGAAACACAATCCTAAATAGAAAACAAGGGATAAA